TTTTTTAACGACATGTAGAAGATATTCAACTTTGTATAATCTCTATAATACGTGTTATAATGACGGTGAGGTTGTCTATAAAGTATTGTCTTTAACGTTGGCGAAGCTTTTGCTGCTGTAGTAGTGATGTTAGTTAGTACTTGTAATTATTTTATTATATATAGTAATCATTATGGTACTTCAGCTTTATAAGAAGAACGTTTTGCACGAGTTCAATATACAGTTTTTTACAAAAAGGTTTTGGTTAGTGAGAAGACTATGAGCTTCAAAGTGCTAAATGGTAAAAAATAAATTCGAATGCTTATACGGTATTAAAGTATTTTTAACTACTTTGTTTTTCAAAATGTTAGTTATCAGAGGTGAATGTTATGAAGATATTAAGATTTTAGTAAAAATTGTGTTTTTTATGTCATATTTTTTGCTTACATTCGACTTGAACAATTGCGTTGCGTGGAATATGCAGATCAAGCGTTTTCAACTCTTCTTCTTTCGAGCTCACAGAATTTTGGGCGATGCATAGCGGTATGTACCACAGAATTGCGGGCCAGAAGAAGTGAAAGAAGATCATCTGAAAATGCAAGAACATGGTAAACTCTGACCGACTTCGTTATCTGATTTCTGTTGATTTGCACAGAAATTTGCAGGTATAGAATATCTACGAGCGCCGGTTTTTTGTTTTAAATAAATTATTTTTGGGACACTAGTAACTGTCGGTTTCTAATAAGTCTTTGAACTTTTAGAGGCTGTTACGTGAAGTATGTTACAGAATGAGTAAACGGAGAAGGGATCATCTTGGCGCTTTATGTCCTGATTTCTGCTGTGCATGACAACTACCTCTTAATCAAGTAGCGCAAACTTGAGAAATAATTTAAAAATTTAAAATATGTCTCAAGAATAGGCTTACGGGCATATACCGTGCAACAAGTGGCATTTTAGAACTGTAAAAAGTTTTTTGTTGGAAAAACGGCACTGGCATTTAACTTGAAATTATTTGCTCACCCCAACTTTATCTAAAAAGCCTGCTTAAACCGTTACGGGAGGGAAAAGACCTAATATTCGACTTTGCTTATTTGTAATTTGAGTTTCTTTTGAAGTTTTTTATCGTAAAGCACCAACTTTTTTTGTTTTTCTTTTTTTTGAATAATTTGCTAAAGGTTTTGACGTTTTCTGTAGATTGTACTCTTCTATGTGCATGATGGAGTAATCAATACCAAAAAAGTTTATATTTTCACTACATGCCGAGTTTGAAAAAACTTTGAGTTTCTTCTTGAATAACTGCATGAACATACTGTATTATTTTCATCAAATAAACCGCTGCGGTAAGTGAATGACGTTCTTCTACTTCAGCAAATAAACGATGTTCAGCATGGTGTCAGACTGATGATCTTATTTATTTTATGTAGTTATCGTCAGAACTGTTACACAGTCGAAATCTTGTGGTGCCTATTTGAATGGCTACGGAAAACCCTACCACTTTTAGCGCGGATTTTTGTGTTATTAGCAAACCTATAAAGTAGCTTATAGACCCGTTTTTGGAACATCATGTTCTAGTTTAAAAACCTCTCATTTGAAATAGCACTTCGAGAAAAAAGCAACAATTTAGTCTGAAAGTATTTAGCTCCACTGAGCACTTTTATTGCGGAAATGTAGCGGATTATGATGAAGAAATGCAGTCCTTGTAAAAGCGGTTTGACAGGGCATAGTCTTTAAAGATATAATGTCCAACTACAGACTGGTCTAAAAGAGAGGATTTACAAGAGAAAGAAACTTAAAAGTGGGATTATTCTATGTTAATCGAGCACTTTTGGAAACTGATTTCCCAGATTCTTCTCAAGTACATCAAGATTTCTCTGAAAGTTTTTTAATCTGTCGTTTGTGGGCAGAGTCGCATAGCTCTAGTTTCTTATAGAAGCTCTTTTCTCCTGCTATTAAAGTAGAATAAAGCAATAAAGGTTTTGAGGAAAGATTTCAGAAGAAGAAAGTTCAAGCATTATTATGCATTTATACTTAGATAGTTCTATGCACAGGTAAGAAACTGGAAGTGCCAAAGAAGCTTTGGCTGCACTAAAATCTGGACAGTTTAGAGCTGTTTTATATCGCTTATTATCTAAGTCAGAGAAAAATCTGTAACAGTAGCTTTCAAAAACCATTGTAGCGAGAATGGAATTCTACAAAGATGTTTCAAAAAAATCTAAGGTTCTTCATTGTCACATTAACCTTATAATCTTCAGAATGTTTGACAAGCAGTTTTACCTGTAGCTGCCGTTGGAGCCACAGTGATGAGGGAATACACACTCAGTTTTAATCAGGCGTATCCTCCGGAGTCTTTATCTTACCTTCAGCAGTTATTTTCTTATGGACTGCGCTGAGAAATATACTTGAACGACGCGGTATTGAAACAGCAGTAAGCTATGCTTAGTGACAATCTATTTCTTTCACTTGTACAAAAAGTTTCTTCTGAATCGTTCAAGTAACTTGAAATCACTATTTAAGAAGTCTGTAAAAATTTCACTAGTACGAAATTTACTGAAAGTTAAACATGTATTTGATATTCCTCATCCTGACTAGGATTTGAGATAAATTTCTTATCTGTGAAGCTTTTAAATTAAGAAAGTGCAATAGGAAGTTTATTTTGGAAATTACGTAATAAAGTCAGCCATTTCTTAGTTGGAAAAGGCTTTGCTTTAAAGTTGCGGTATATTTTGCTTCGGAAAAACTTTAAATAGACGAGAAAATTTAAAAATTTTGACGCTGAAACTTTTTTTTTGCAGCGGTATTGAAAAGATATATAATTTTGTAGCTTAACTGTTATTTACTTTACTTTCTCTTAATTGTGACATTTATCAACAATCATTGTGGTTTTCTAACAGTTTCGTATCAGATATAGAAACTTCTAGCTCTAATGAAACCATTGATGTCGCTAAGAAACTGAATAAAAGCCTGGGTAAAATTATCTGGATAGAATCATATTATTTCTGGGAGAATTTATGACACAGATTAGGCAGTAGGATGTGTTAAAGTGATGTCAATTAGGCGGTATAGATTTACCAAAAGTTAAGTATTCTTCTAAAGTGTATCTTATTGAAAAGGTAGAAGGCTGTTGTGTCAAAAGTGTACAAAGCTTATTTTTGAAATTAATAGACTTACCAAAATTTGGATCTCTCTGCTTGGCTTCAAAGGTTGTCGAAATGCTGTTGTGGGTGATAAAATAATGTTGGAGCAAGCTACCGACGATTGCCAGCACAATAAAATTCAATTATTTTAGCAGACAAAATAACGACTACACAAAAGACAACATGATGTATCAGCTATGATGTTTAACGAACACCAAAATATATGTTTGTCACCATATAAAATTTAGAGCAGGTTATTCTTCTGGCAAGCCTAGTTTTTTCACTGCTAAATTTGCTTCCATAATGTATTGACACCTGTTCCTTAGAGATTTATAGAAGATTCTTAAACGTTTTTTAATAGCAGAAAACATAACCATAAGTCATTGCTACTTAGTTGTTTTATAAGTAAAGTAATTTAAATATAGAGATTTGTATAAAGTAAATGCAAGAAATTAGAAGTTTTTTTGGCAAAACTTTATTGCTTCGTTTTTATTTTTAATTTCAATGTCTAAATTTAGTACTATCAAAACAGTTAATCAGATTTTAAAAAAAAAAGATACCTGAAGATTATAGTAGTTTGCTGTGTAGGGAGATAACTGTAAATGTAAAGATTGTAAATAAGACAAACGGCAAATAAAAATCTATTACAGCAATTTGCAAATATTATTCATTTCAGGAGTCGATCCAATGATATATCATCAAGCATGTCTCTTTATCATCATAGTTTATGCATCGGTTGCTTACGCAAAACTAGACCCAGTATGTCAACTTGAAATTAGCTGTAGGTCCTCTGTAAAGTTTTAATTTCTTAACGTTTTTATTTTACACTTAAATCTTTTTCTTGTATCTCTTTTAGTCAGTAAAAACTAATTTAGAAAATACTCCGCAATTGTTAAACAATTCTAAGACTGTCCGTAACCATACGAAGAATACGTTATATACGTTATATATTACTGCTTCTTTTATTGCTGCTGCATTATAGTTTACAATAAATTTGATGTAATTCATACTTGTTGGTAACCCGATGCTTACCATTTCCTTAAATGCTGTGATTATACAGATCTATTTGCAAACGATCCGGAAATACACAAGACAGCAACGTTTTTTTTTTCAAATTTAGCAAATTTTTTCGTGATTTCTCAAAATAAGCAGAAAGAAACAGTTTATCGATGAAATTGAGCTATTTATCATTGTTTTCTTTTATATTCTGCTATGAAAGTCTTTAATGAGCAAACTCCTTCCTTCTGAACGGTTCACAAAGACTTTGCAAGATGGTCTTTGTGAGTAGAATTAGTAACACCAGCGACAAGTTTTCATTAAAATCTTTATATATAAAAGCAGCGTACCTAGCAGTGTAATTAGAACTAATAGACAAACTGCTCAAAATGAACTATATTGCCTGCTTAAGATTACATTATGAACTCACGCAGAAAAGAAAATTTTTTTGACATTTACTGAAATGAATTAATTTTTGAAAAAGAAATGTTTAGCCACTCAACAGAAAAGTTGTGGTCTTTTCTACTTTAAACTTTTGATAAATACGCCTGAAAGTATAAAACATTTCTTTCATTAAAATGTACGTAGTCTCAATAATTTTTGCTTTTCCTGGGTATTTCTAGTATTAATCATTCAGCTTTTAGGTGCAGTTAGAACGACTTGACTGCAAATTCTTTCAAAAATCTGATAAATTTTGCTTAACATGACGTGGCTGACTCTATAGTCATATATAGTTTGCCAGTTTAACTTATCTCAACTGGTCAAACTGTTGGTTGATACATATATTTATGTGCTAAATTAAACGATTATTACTTTTAGCGCAGTCAGGCAAAAAGTACTGTAACGTGAATGCAATTCTTGTTGGCAGAAATGTGGCAATAGCACCGTCAATATGTTTTGATGCTGAGTAACTTTACTCTTATTTTTCCTTCGCTTTCTCGATCATATTCCGCACTTTCAAAGTATTATTTCATTTAGCCGAAAAAGAAAAAAAAAGAACGAATTATTGAACGTTTTATCTGCTAAACAAACTGGAGAATTTTTAGCGAAGATTTGAACCGTTTGGCTGAAATGTTTCAGAGATGTCGAAAAGTACACAGTATCGTTTGACAAATTTATCTGTACCGATCGAGTTCCGATACGAGCTATCTATTCAATGAACCTTAATTTTGCTACAGTGATTCTTGCTGATGGCTTCTGCACTGTAACGCAGCAGCTAAGAAGTAACAGTCAATTAACTTTTAAGATATTTATTTGTCCCTTATAAGGCTTAATATGAACTTTTTTGCCATTACATTACAGCACCGCTTATTCAACAAATTTTTATAGGTATAACTTTTTCTACTAAATACCAAAAATTCCTTTTCAGATTACTGTTATCGAAATTTCATGAAATTAATGCAGAAACGTTTTCCTAACAACGATGCGAATCTAGTTGGATTACATTTGTACAACACGA